GTATACAACCCCAGTTTTTTAAAACTGCAGATAATTAATTTATCAAGAAAACCCCACAAACATGTTTAGTCAGATGAACAGACCTAACCCACAGTCAAAATAGTTGCTTTTTTAACATTAACAATAAAAGCATGTTGCCAAAATCTGTGTAATCTTGGATTTATTTGGAAAGATGAGGTCGGAATTGTAGCTTGGATAATTTCAAATGGAAAGGTAGCCTATAATTGAACAGACAGTTCAACTCAGTTTGTTAGCTGAAAAAAATGTCAAAGGAAGAAAATCTCAATATGATTTTCAATCTCTAAAAGAAAATAGATAGTTTTGCAGCAACATTAAACCATCCAAGTAGGCAATATCATAAATAAAGCTAGCTAGTGAATTTCAACAAAAAACATATGTAGTTAATCTAAATATCAATAGCGTACTGATTTAAATGCATTTCATGCTTAAAAAAAACTATTGTGTATCTTCAAAGCTAGAAGAAACAGCTTTAAAATTAATGTTTTCTAAAAACCCCTGTAGACTGTCATATATGATTCATCACAACTAGTTTAAAATAGCATTCAGTAGATGTAAACAGACATAATGTTTGATTTTGAATCTACAGAAAACATCAATTATCTACAAAAATGGAAAATGCAAGGTTTGTGGAAACAAGACTTGAATTTAGTAAGATAAATGAAAATGGATGGCAATCATACTGATACTCCAACAGATATAATCAACACTAGATATGAATCCATTAAATACTGTGACAGTAAAGGCCATTTGTATAAAAGATGTAATTCTACCACAATTGTTCTTTACTTTTTTTTTAGCTCTAAACACAAGAAACATTATGATGATTTTAGTTTTGTACCTAAATACATAAGGAAAAAAATCATAGAAGGATTTAACATTTAACACCCACAGAGGAGGTGATGTGGCTGTGTATGGTTTATTTTGGCTTGCTTTCTTTATTAGCTCCCAAAATTCATTATGGTACTCGATTAAATTGTGTCACTAAACAATTTGCATACTGGTATCATTGAGAATGTTCTTTTGTCCTGTGATATAAAAGCCAAAACCATGACAAAAATACTTTTTATTTTTAGCCAGTTGTTCTTTTTCATCACTAATCTAGAGACTAAATTGTTCTCACCCATAATTACAGTCATTTTCTAAAGCTAAAGAAATCACTCAGATTGCTGTAGTCTGCATCAACAATTTCAATAATGTATTATCTGATTAAATACTAAATGCATTATAGTCTCAAAACATAAAAAAACCACTTTTTTATTTTTAAAATAAAAACATTTTCCTTTTCTTTTTATGCTTTTAAATTCAGTTAAAGTGTAGGCTAGAAAAGAGTCAATCCATAAAATTCTCTTGCTCCAGAAATACTGTGTCAGGAATCAAAAATGTTTGGGATCTTGTTCTAGCACAGGAGTTTTCTTCCTCATGAAAACCCTTCCAAGATGTTTTCAGTCTCTTCAAGATAAGATAGATGAGTAGCAGTTGGGATGCAGGTGATTCCTTATAAATCAAGTACACTTTCACTAGGACTAAACCTCTCACACTGATCATAAAGGCTTTTAGTTTTCCTGCCAACTTCTCTGCTTAGTGGAGCATACAACCATATTGAGGAAAATATTACTGACCTGAAACTATTGCAAAATGCTGTCACAAAGGGAATTAACCTCCAAACCCTCGGTCACATGTACTTATATGCACAGAATCAGGAAGAACTAAGATGCTTTTTTACATCTAGAAGGATTGATTTGGCCAGTTACTAACAATATAGCCCAGGGGTCAGTACAAGTCCTGTTTAACATCTTCATTAATGACCTGGACAATGAGACAGAGTGTACTCTCAGCAAGTGTGCAGATGACAGATGCAGATCTCCCAAACTGGGAGCAATGTTTGATAGACCAGAGGGTCCTGTTGCCATCCAGAGAGACCCTGACAGGCTGGAGAAGGGGGCTGACAGGAACCCTATGAAGTTCAGGAAATGCAAAATCTGACATCTGGGAAGGGACAGCTCAAGGCACCAGAACACGTTGGAGGCAGCCCAGCTTGAAAACAGGCTGACAGAAAAGGACCTGGAAGTCCTGCTAAACACCAGGTTGAACCTGAGCCTCTGATGTGCCCTTGCCGAAAGAAGATGGGTGGTATCCTGGGCTGCATTAGGAGTGTTGCCAAGAGATCCAGAGAGCTCTGATTTTTCCCTTCAGCACAAGTGAGGCCATACCTGGAGTACTGTGTCCAGCTCTGGGCTTCCCAGTACATATGAGAAATGGAAACATTGGAGAGAGTGCAACAATGGGCAAAAAGATGGCTAAGGAATTGGAGCACATTCACTATTAGTAAGGCTGAGACCTGTGAGTGCTCATTTGGAGAAGGCTCAGGGGGCTCCTAGCAAGGCAGCATTTACTGATACTTTAAAGCTAGGCCAATGAAAAGAACAGCAACCTCAAAGATTCAAACATAAAACACATGGATGCCACTTCTACATAACATTTTCTACATGTTTACATGTTAAAATGTCACATATCCATAAACATTTGCAGTACTGAATTACACCATCACACGTTGAAATATATGATACACAACACTTAAAATCTGCAATTCTAAGTATGAAGAAGAAACCAGAAAGGAACATGGTTAATAACAGCCTTCATCACTTTTCCTAAAGCAACTTTTATATAAGAAAATCCTCATGCTTGTAAAGTACTTTTATAACTGCACAACACTAATGGCAGCATTTTAAACTTGATATGGTAATTGGCTGATAGCAAAAATAAAAAAAAAAAACACTTTCTAATTTTATCCTATAGCCTTTCATTGAAGAGCATTATTTCATAAACATTCCCAAAGAACTTTGCATTTAAAATATGTAAGTTAATAGTAAGATATCAGTGTGAAAACACAGCAAAGATGCCACTGTGGTTTATAGAAGGGTATTTCCATATTAGCTACATAACTTTCAATAGACTATAGATTCATTAGCTAGAAATGGAAAAATCAGTAGGAAGATTACTGATAATGTGTCTTTTCCCACTAGCATTTAATTGCTTAGGTAATACGATTCAGGTAATTCACCTGCTCCTCAAAGTATGTTCAACAAGCTGTCTCTGTTCACTTCTTCCAGGTTTTCTGGCTTTATGTTCTTATCACAGAATTTTTGGAACTTGCTATAGCTACACTAATTTTAAAGACATTTAGTTGATTCAGAATGCAGTTGGGGTTTACAAAGATTTTTAAGGCATAGAAATGTGTAGGCCTTTTCAATAGCAAATTCTTCTTGTGCATCTCTTCAAAGACCTGTATCCATGACAAATATAGTTGGATCCACCATTGTGGATTGGGCTTCTGTAACCAAAACTCTGTTTAATTTGGACATGTGGATGATGTCCTTAACTTCAAAACTCCACCTAATTTAAAACTCAGTATGAAGACCACAGCAGCCACCTTTAAAACACAGCAATCATTTTCTGTCAATAACTCGACATCAGGGTACTTTGGTACCACTGACCTTTTTTAGGAAACTGTAATTTACAAAGCAAATGGTTTCCAGCTGACCTTCAGGACAGATCTTGTCCAGCCATAAGTAAAAACTCACTTGTTTTTTTTTGGCACAGGAGCAGAACAGAAATCTGCAATAAATGATAGTGTGCTAATAATTATATTTACTAAATACCCTGTAATTTTGAAATGATCCATCACCAAATATCATCTACAGTGCCAGAGACAATAAAGGCCACTAATCATAAGTTCCAGAACTTTGAAAAGTCCAGCCATGCTGTATTTTCCACAGTCTGTGAATGCTCAGAGCAAACACATATTTGGCCTGGAGGAGACAACACCCAATAACGATCTACTGTTGAAGAGACTGTATCTACATTCTGGACTCACAAAAAAGAGAACATGAGGATTCACAGAGGGAGAAAGGAAGAGGGAAAGAGCTCTGCCTTTCTGCAGCAAATGTTCAGGCACTCAGACAGAGCAAACCTCTCCTCTGTCTTCTAAACAGATGAGCTCTTCCTGCATTTCCCATAGTGAATAAAGTAGTGATAGCTCAAGAAAAAAAAACCACAAAGGTGACAACCACACAGATTTGAAATTCTCTCTGGATCAAGGGAGATGCAATCTTTTACATTAAAAATAAAAGCATTTCAGTAGACTTCCTGCTTTTCTGTAATAATTTTTGTTCCCTCTGCACTTTACACATAACTAAAGACATTATTTTGTAGCTTGCTTGAAGTTTCACAGCCCTAGCTCCCAGCACACATCCCAGGGCATGCTGAATTATACCAGAAGTGTGTGTTTAGGTGACTCAGTTGACCCAAAATGTCTACAAAATGTACACAATATAAATGTACACAATTAAAAAATGACTCAGTTACATACATTGTAACCTAATCATGGAAGTCAAACCAGTCACTGAACTACTATTAAGAATGGACAGAATTTGAGACTATTATTCACTGAGAATGCCCTGATACATTCCAGAAACAGGATATCTTTAGCCAGCCCAATCTAGTCAGACTAAAATTTTAAGTATTTTACGATACCAGTTTGTCTTCTGACTTTCTTAATATGATTTTCACACCATCCTCACCTCTTATCACGCATTCCATCTAATCAAAGCTAAGACTTCAAGTCAGTGTTCCCTCCTGTTTTAACCCTATCACTGCACTCTTCACCTCCCAGAAAAACATCCCAACTCTTTCACCCCTATTTCTGACATACACTCCATTTCCCTAACACCTCCCAAACAGCATCACTGCTCAGTCTGGGAAGAAGAGTACCAGCACCATCTGTCCTAGCACAGAACACAGGGACCTGCCTCTCCAGGCACTCATGGCATCAAATTGTCACAGCCCAACCTGTGGATGGCATCCTGCAAAAAGACAGCTAGATAAATTGTTGGACCAAGAACATTTAATTTATACAGCATAACTTTAGATTATATATTATGTATTTTTTTGTCCTATTCAGACCAGCTACCTAGACTTACATGTCTTTTTTCCTTGTCAGTCTGCACCCACATGTTCTACTTCTGTATAATAACTTTTAATATTTAGATATTATAATGGACCTATTGTAATGCCGTCTTCCACTGGCTTTTTTCTCATTCCTTTCCAGCAAAGTATATTTTATCCATCCTCTGAACTGTAAAAGAGAATGAGTAATTTATTACAGTTTCTGACCTGAAGTAAAATCCACAATTCTCTGCAATTTTCTGTAAAATTCAAAGCAGTCAAGCTCAACAATATACACTTTTGAATAGAACTGATGTTTATTGTTTATAATATAAATAACATACACATTGATGATATTTTTCAGTAGTAATTCATCTACTCATTTTAATAAAATTTCTACTTGTTTGTAATTTTCTGAAGTACGGAGCAATAAAAATTTGCTTACTTCCACTGCCATAAAGTCCTGTTACTGTCATCTGTACTTCACTAAAGTACAGATCTGTATTTATGGGAGGACATTTGAGTGTTAATAGAAAATAATTTAAAAGTGCTAGATACATGCATTTACTTAAGTGCTCTTCATATTTTTCCTTGGCAATACAAAAAACTCCAATGTAACAGAATGCAAATTCAATTTATGTCTTACCAATTTTAACTTTTGGTAAATGTCCCATTTTCTTTCCAGGCTAAGCAATAAAAAATAATTCAATTCAGAACAAAAATGTATTTCAAATGAGTCATATATCACTAATATATTAAAATTCAGTATCTCCCTGTATCTGACTTGCTGAATGAATTAGACTTTCCATGGCAACATTAATTTGCCAAAATCTCCCTTGTTTCATATTTTTAAAAAAATCATACTCTTGGGAGAGTTTGTAAATGGAACATGTTCTGTTCCAGTCCAACGTGTATGATAATTAACAAAACTCTGGGCTGAGACAATCTTAGAAAGGCTGCATTGCAGGAAAAATGAATAATCTTCCACGTCCCTATTGTACAAGACAATAAGATTTTAAAAAAAAAGGTGGTGGGTTTGGGCTTTTTTATTTTTTTTCAAGAAGGGCTACTGTATTAGGAAAACATTCGTACTAGAAAGGTTTATGAAGTACTGGAATATACTGCCTGCTGAGATTGGTGTGCCTCCAACACCTGTGATATTTAAAATGACTAAAAACACCCTGGACAAATCTGCACAAGGTTAACCACAGCACAGCTTGAAAACATTCACCTCCCTGCCAATTCTGTCATTCTGTGGTTCTTAGTAAGGATTTACACCAATGTTCCTAGCAGAGTTGTACTTCCTATATAATAAGTACTGTATGCTTCTTAAAAACAAAATAGCCCACCTTAGCTAATTCTAAATGGAGGATCATCAAATTTTGTACACATAACAAAGAAATCAGTGGACCTGTTTATTGTGATTGTCATATTTTAAAACATATTATTACTGTCATATTTTAAAATGTATTATCCCCATTTTTCAAAGGAAAATTTGGATTACATAAAGCATGATCTTCCTAATCTCAAACACAGAAAACCAAAGAAAGAGCATAAGAGAACACAGATTGTTTACTTTCAGACCTAAATGGAAATTGTCCTTTTATTTCTGGGTATACCACCACATTTCTCACAAATAGAGCTGATTGAAGTACAGAAATGTCAGGTTTGGAACATGGAGTAAAGTCAGAACTGATTAGTTTTAACACAGAATAACATCAGAGAAAATTAATACCAAATCTAAGTTTGTAATTTTTCTTTATGTTGTTGTGTTAAAATTAAAATTTTCCTCACACAAAGGAACAACACAAATACTGCTTTGGTAAAAGATTTTTCCTATGATGTTCCTGAACTATGTGTAAAATACATATAATTAACCAAAATAAATCTTCATTAAGTTTCAGCTGTAGAAGTACCATTCTTTTGCACACAATTCTTTAGTCATTTAAAATACAATTTATGGCAGTACAAAAAGTAGTGCTGTTTTATAAATGTTTTCAGTCACACAAAAAAAATTAAATCTTGTCTTTTCCATGTTGATTGTTGCAAATTAAAGGATCTAATTTGAAGTGATGTACATTCAAGTATAACTTTCTGTGTATAGTTAGAAGTACTTCACTACCAAATGATGCTACTGTTTTTGCACAGAGAAGTTAAAGAAAAAGTTAAATTAGCATACAAACCAGAACTAATTTCTGTGCTTGAAGGAAAGCTCAATCACTGAAATTCAGGTTTTCATCCGTCATATCCAATCTTTCATTGATCAGCCGTATTCAGCCATGTAACATACTAAATATTTGAGTTACTCTTTGCAAAAATTATTTCATGACCCATTGTTTTGTCAGCCATTTACCGCATGATTCTAACTGGTATTGCAATAAACCTTTCTGAATTTCTACAAAATCAAAACTGTGTAAGACTAAGGGCTAAAAATATCACTGTAAAAGAAAATATCATCCTTCAAAAATACAAAAAGCAATGGGCCTCAGAAAATACTGGGGTTTATCTCATGTATTGCTACTACTCCTAAGAAAATCTAGGAGAGGATTTGACTTCAACAAGTTTTTATTTGTATATGTGCACTGTATAAATGAAGCATTCAACTTTTGGACTGATCTGAATACTAACTGAATAGTCAGCAAAAGAGGAAACAGCTGAAATGTAATTGCTGTGAACTCAGGACAGATGTACTTACAGAAGACAAAACTGAGTACAGTTACACAGAGATAGTAAAGAGAAAAATCTGGTCACACTGCATGCCAACTTACTGACTCAATTGTTTAGTGAGGGGATCCAAAGATTGAGGATTTATTACTCACATCCCACTGAAAACTTTAACCAGAAAATTGCAGAGAATATTAAAGCAAGAAATATCACATTATTTTATAAGATTACAGTGTAAACAAAACTAAATCCTTATTATTTTTTTTTTTAATCTCATGCTGTGCTGTCTTCATTTCACAGGGTGAAAGAACACACAGAGAACAGAAAAAATGAGAAATACCTCACTTAATGATGCAGTGCTTGAAAGACACATCCCTGGTTCATATAGGTAAATCTGCTGCGGTCAGCAATGAAGTTAAAACCCTTAACATCACCTCAGTTTTGATTACCACAAAAGTAAGGCTTTAATATATAAACTAAACAAAGAGGAGCATTAAGTGGAGGCTATATTAATTAAATATTCTATAGACAAAAAACACACACAAAAAAAGCCCACCCAACTGCCCCCAAACCCATGGATATAAAAATAAAATATATTCTCTGTTTTTAGAGATATTAGAGTCTTACTGCTTTTGCAATATCATATGCCATCAATATTTGCAAAAATTAATATTATATTTAAATTGCATTTAAATTGTACCATTAGCATATTTTAAAAGTCCAAGTGCAGTATTATAAACCACATAGCACACACACACACAGACAGAATAATTCAGTATGTATCATAAGTATCTAATCACTTTGTTATTATTTCTCTCAGCTTTTCTTCTAAAAATGTAAGTGGATCTTCTGGATGAGCAATAAATACACCACAAAGCGGCACCTGCAAAAAGAAACTGCAAATTAACTCCTTGTATTTACAGCAAAGTACCATCTAGTTATGAAGCTGTTAAAATAAACAACAGTTTACCAGAATCTTTTAAAGTACTGTGAAATAGAGGCATTTGTTCTTATCAGTTCCCTTTCATTCAATTTTTAAAGGTAATATTGCATGTATCAGCATAATTCCATTGGTAGACTTCTAAGTACTGTGTTTAAGATAGTAAAATAAGTGGCAATTCTTTAGCAATTCCTACAAAGAATTTCATTGCTTTTAATGTGCATTAAAAAAAAAAAAGTATATAAGATTGGATAATTTTATTTACTTAATAAGAAATGGAATCTAAAGCAAGTTTAATACCGTGCAGTTAAGTATGTTAAATGGGCAAAAATTGATCCTGTAACCAACACTGAAAACAAAATGCAGCTAAAAAATATTTGCTTTCCAGGATTGATTTATTATACAATTTTACAATATCTCTTAGTAACAATGCACAATAACCAATGAACCATTTTTTCTCATTTGTTCTTTAGCTATCTTCAGCTAAACGACATGGATCATTTACTTTTGGACTTTCAGCTCACATACAGCAAGAACATTCAAGATATATTAATGTATATGGGCAAATTGCAGTTATTTAAGTGAATATTCATTGGAAATTATAAAAAAAAAGTTCTTGTGGCTGGTAAAAATGTCAAAACATGGCATGCAATATTACTTTCCTTTCAAGATATGGCCTCCTGCTGTTACTAAATTAATGTAGAGCTTGTGCTTGAATGCTTTTCAGGATGCATGGTGGGAGGACAAAGAGAAAGAGGAAGGCTCTAAATCAAAGCCATGCTGTGGACAAAGAGCAAAAAGGCAAGTTGCCTGTCAAGTTGCCCCTCACCCTGCAGAGGCAGACAGCAGGGCAGGCAGGTAGAGGGAACAGCTCAACAAGCTGTCCATGCTCTCATCAGTACACTGTGTAGAAACAGAATCAGACAATAAGGTAAATTTGGAGCAATCTCTGAAGACAGTTGAACAGAAGTTGTTGGGATGTCCCATTATTGGAAGTGTTCAAAGTCATGCTGGACAGTATTTTGAGCAAGCTGATCAAGCTGCTCATGGCAGGGTGGTTGCACAAAATGTTCTTTGAAGGTTCCTTCCAACCCAAACTGTTCTGTGTTTCCATAAATCTAAGTCAAGACCAATACGAAAAAGTGAAGACAAAATTAAAGGCCATTGTCTTCAGTTTAGACATCTGAATATTTACAACACTAGTCAACAGACCAATTCCGACCTTAGCATCTTTTCAATCCTCTTAACAGAAATGTAATTTGCAAGGTGTGGCTGACTGTTGACTAGGTTAAAAAAATAGAAATGCATCACTTATGATTGTAATTCATGGCATGCAATATTTTATACAAGAAACACCTAAATGGTTTGTTGTCACAAAGTTTGCTATGGGCAGATTCCCAAAGCCATTCCCAACATTGGTAAGCTACTCCCTCTGCTGGATAAATCAGTATGTGACTGCCATATTTTAGTTCCAGTATTGTTTGCCTTTCCCCCACCCCTTTTTCAAAGAAACAGACAACTTCTTCTCCTTTGGGTGCTTTGGAAGTTCTCCAACACAAGAAATCCCATCTAGCCAGTGATATACTGGAATGCAATGCCTCTGTTTAACATTTGATAATATTAATTAAATAAGGAAGGAATTGTAATCGTCTTGCAATCCTCAATCAAGCACTCTTCAGTAACGCTTGGACTAGGTGTAAAACAGGAAACAATTGTGTTAGTTGTGCTAAGCAATTAGGTTTGTACAAGTCTGGCTGCTTCTATTAGACTTCTACAAGTCTCTCAGCAATCTGGAAGAGTCCATCCCCAATGTTTTCACCCTTTCTTCTTAATACCTCTTTAGCCATTTACTCTTCATGGCAAAATTAATTTGAATCCCAGGGCAGAAAAATCTTAAGCCATCTCTTCATCCATGTTTACTTCTAACATTGTAAGAATACAGCTACTAACTAGAGTGAAGTTATCACACACAAGAGTGCTTGCAGGATTACAGTTTTTGCCTGACTTTTAATGAATACTGTTTAAAAGTAAATCTGGATAAGAACTGACAGAAATCAGACAGGAAGGAAATTCTCGGATCCAGCGGGAATCCTAAATTATCTGGACAAGATTACTTGGACTTCAACTTGTTTGGACCATAACCAAACCACAAACTCATCATAAAAAGACTTAAGCAAATGTTAATTTTATTTTATTTTAAATGTTCAAAGGTCTCATCTTAGTTTTGATGTTCCTTAAAAAAGGACCAGTATAATTTCATTTATCTTCACACCAAGTATCCTGTAACTTCATAAAGAAATTAACTAAATTAAATAAAAGATATGGCTAGATATCAGCAAGCAACAACCTCTAAGAAACAAGAAAAACAAGGATAAAAATATTTTTCTCAGGGTAATTTTTAACTGGGTCATTTAAAAAGAGTCTTCCTGTCACCGTTGAGCAAGAAATGACACAAATCCACAAGCAGGCTGGTTCACACAACAGCCGCTTTAATATGAAAGTTCCCTTCTTTTATAACTAGGTATGACACATTCTACTTGATTGGCTAATTAACAGAAACATTTTTCTCACAAACAGTCCTTGAGAACAACAGAAAAACAGAGTAGGAAAACACCACCTGCAGGTTGTTTATACTAACAAGTTATCGTCATTTCTCTACAACTCCCTAAAAAGTCTCACAAGTCCATTGTGAGAAAACCTATTCCATTTTCTTGCTCTCTGACCAGGCTGTCACATCCACTGTCTTCCTTTAATCTTATCCTTAATTCTTTCATTTTTAGTTCATTAACCTAATTTCACTGCTGCTATAGCTATAATGCTAAAACCTTTGCTTGAATCAAGAGATATACCTCATCCTGAGACATCTTGTATTTTGGTTTTTTGTGCTTATCAAGCAAAGAATGACCTAGAGACGGACTCCCAGAAGAAATACTCAGTCTATACATGGCAGCACTGCTCTGTAATTATTGTAATTGGCTCAAGATCTCTTTATTAGTATCTCCATAGAAATCCTGGCTGTAATATCTGATTGCAAATGGGGTCTATTTTGGCAGCTTAAATATAACAGGATATCTCTTAAACTTGCATTTGTGCACCGTGCCTTTTTTTGTTTGAAGGAAACTGAAAAACAGCTGCTGCAGATTTGATAACAAGCAGAGGTGAACATGACAAACAGGGAGGAAAATATAGAAACACAGAGAATCACTTTGCAAATTCAAAGGGCAAACCTATCAACCCTGTTTCCCCCACAGTCCTTCACCCTGTGCCAGTTTTACTCTCTGATTTTTTATGGAATCTATTTACTCCTGTGCCAACAAGAATATCTAATCCAGCAGCATATCTGAAGCATGATCCAGTGTCATCTTTACGACTGACAGCCCGTTAGAAATCATGGATTGCACCCACTGCCCTCGTGAGGAAGGAATTACCTGGCTGAAATCTAGAGGTTCTTTTGTAATTAACACAGAAGTTAAACGTATCAGGGAAAGTGCCAGAGTAGTTCACCGGGTTCGTCTTCATTTCAATCCTCATTTTAACACAGATTATAAAGCAGAATTGCTTTGTTCCATCTTGTTACTGTGCCTAAAGTTTTCATAAATCGTTTGGTGCATGCTAGTGACAAAACGAGCAGAACAAAATCATGCCTCAGGCAGCAGAGAGCCGGGGGAGGGATGTGAGATGCCCCACCCAGCGCTGAGGGGCGCATCGGGCCGGGACCAGGGCTCTGCTGAGGGGCGAGGGGACCCTTCATGGAGGAAGGTGGCGGACGGCTCCCTGCCACAGATGTTGTCGGGGGAGTTTGTGGTCCCACCGGCTCCAGTGGGACCAGGCTGCCGACCGCCTGAACACCCAGGGGGTGTCGGAGGGCCAGGGGCGGCGGTCCCCCACTTTGGGAATGATGTCCCCCCGCCAGGGGCTGCCATGGCGCACGACCGCCCTTCCCGTCGCGCCGGATGGGGCGGCGGCTTCCGCGGGCGACGCAGCCGCGGCCGGGGCAATGTGGGAGCCGCGGGGCGCGGCGCTGCGGGCGGCGGCGCTGCTGCTCGGGGCCGGCGCCTGCTACTGCCTGTGGCGGCTGGCGGCGGGCGGGCGGCGGGGGCGGCGAGCAGCGGCCGCGCGGGGCCGGCCGGCAGGTGAGGGGCAGGGCCGGGCAGGGCAGGGCCGGCCGGCAGGTGAGGGGCAGGGCCGGGCAGGGCCGGGCCGGGCAGGCCAGGGCGGGCCTCACCTCCGGTGCGCGGCGGGGCCCGGGGAGGCTCCGCGGGGCCCGGGCGGTTCCCAGCCCGCGGCTCGGGACCCGGAGGTGGCTCTGCGCCCCGAGACCGGCGGTGCCACAGTCCTGCGTTCCGGCCCTCCACAGCCAGGCGGCGATTTGGAGCACCCTGGAGCATGATTTATTTACGTCTGATCAGTGTGTTTTCTTACGTTACTGCAGTTTTTTGTGTTCCCCCTATAATTCAGAGATAAGTGGAGTGTATAGACGAGGATGAAAAACTATTTTGAAGTGAGCTCTTGAATCATCTTAATTAACTTCTCAGAAGTCATCTCCAGTAAGCTATGACTAGTCCAGCAGCCACAGATCGGGTCTCATGGCCCTTCAGCTCGCTAAATAATTCTGCCTCCAACCTGGTTGAAAATGGTCTTTATAACATTTGTTGCCCTTTTATAAAGGTCAGGTACTCCATAACATTATCCTGACTCAGAAGCAGCCTTTCTCCGTTGTTTTGAGTGATGCCATTGATTAGCAGAGTTCCTAACGTCGTGGCTGTTACTTTGTCGTAGGACCTCAGCATACTAGCAAAGCGTCATTATTATAATTTCTGGAAGTAGTAGTCTGTAAACTGGAAGTTTTGTTTCCTACAGTGCTCAGACAGATTTCCACATTACATTTTGAGGACACAAAAACACCCCAAACCATGTTTGGTGAATATTCCTAATAATTTTGTAGAGGAAATTTGCTATTGGTTAACCAGGAAGTAATGCACCTCAACCTCTAATTGTGTGTTCCTTTTATTCTCCACCTTCAAAAGAGGTAATTAGAGGACTCAGAAAAAGGATGGAAATTTTCATGTCATAAAACAGTCTTTTTACCATAACATGGTAATTGGGCACAACATTTAGAACAATACAACTGAGAGCTAAATTTCAGCTTTGAAAAAAACCTTAAGTAGCAACTAAGGGAAATGTCTCAAACTTAGTATCAAGTATTTAATTTCTACACATTGACAGACAGCAGTCCTCCAGTGTCAACCCATACCATGGATGTGGATGCTCTACAGAAACTTATTCATTTGCTCCAGGCCACAGATGATCCATTAATTCAAGAGCAAGCTTTAATAACTCTCAGCAACAGTGCTGCCTTCTCTGTAAATCAAGTGAGTATTGTTCTTTAGAAAACAACAGTGTCCAATGCCAGCCAGTCTGGCAGAGGAGAGCTGCTGTTCTGCTAGAGTGACACAGGACTTTAAGCTAGGACCGCTTGTGCTCTAAAATCCATTTAATTTCTTGCCTTAATTTCTGCTGGCCCAAATAATATAATTCACCAGCTTCACAGAATGTATTGAATTATAATGTTTGGACCACTTAAAATCCGTACAGAGTCATATACTTCAAAAGTGCTGTAAATGTATCTTTTGTTGCTTACAATTATGTAATGTTAATGAAAGGCTTAAATACTAGGTTAAATACTTTCTGGTTCAGATCTAAAGTTTAGTGCGATATTTTTTGCCACTCACAAAGTTGTGTGCTGTTTGCACATTAGCAATTTTACAACAATAGAGGCATCTCCAAATCATTTGGACATAGAATGCAGAAAAAACTTTGAGCTGGACACCAATTTTCATGCCTTTTAAACAGTTTAACCTCCAAGGTCCCACCTTTTTTGCTACTTACGACGGCTGTCTGTTCTGGCTCCTCAAAATGGCTTTCTTAATATAAATCTCTTAGAACAGAATGCAACTGAAACATAAAGTTCACTGGTCCATTTTCTTTTTTTTTAAGCAGTATTTTTTTAAAGACAGTTACAGTCTAAGTGAGAAAGATAAAACAGTAATAAAAACAAGTGTAATGGAAAAAATATCGTAACTTCTAGTAATATGAAGCTACATCTTGAAATTCTGTCCTGTTCAGGCAGGACTTTTAGGTACCGCAATCTGTCTCAGTTGTTCTATTAACTCATTATCAAGTAATTTACTTCTATTCTTTATAATGTAAAATGCTTTAAACATGCTTTGCAGACCAGATTTTAAAAGCAAAGGTGATGTGCCGTTGTCAAATAACAGCAACTAATACTTTTCTTCCTAAGCAGGACCCTTCTTAGTTTCAGTAAAGCAATAAAGCAGTATCTGCTAACACTCTTTTTAAACAGAGCAGTCAATTCTGAATTCTTCATTCACATACTTCATTTTTGTCAATATGGAGATGTTGAGGGAATGCTTCAGCATTTAAATTAAATTTTTAAAAATCCTATTAAACATCTTCTATATTTCAGGATGTAATCCGAAATTTGGATGGTCTTTCTGTTATTGGAGGGATGCTGTCCAACTGCGTTCCCAAAGTTAAAGAAAAAGCACTAAATGCACTTAATAATTTGAGTATGAATATTAAAAATCAGGAAGAGATACAGGTAAGATTCTTAATGGGAAAAACCAAAGTAACCAAGGCAAAGACATAGTATATGTCCTTCAGCATATTTGTTAAATACAAGCCAGGATGCCAAAATGGTTTGATGATAGACATACAAGTCAGCAGATCTGGATGACTGAAAGGATAGCTTAGAAATGCATTGCTTCACTGGCATTTACTTTTAAAATAAAAGACAGGAACCTATGCAGTTTACGTTCAGCATTCACAAAATACTATTAAACAGAGATTGTGCTGCTAAGATTATAGCAAAATTATGTGAGGTAAGATGATTTCCAAACACGCCTAGAATATCACCAGCGGCTGTTTAAGAATGGATTGCAGATTGAACTTGCCAGGACTCCTTAGGTGAGGATGAAGAAAAAAGTAATTGAGCCCCTTGTATGAGACCAATTTTTCAGGTGATACTTCCATCTTAAAAGGAAACTCTGTATAAATTATAAAAAGTTCCTCTGGTAAATACAGTACATGCTATGGATATGAAAGGACTAAACATCAAGAAAAAAAGAAATTGATTAATCAATAGATCAAGAAGTGTCCAAGTGGTGAGCTGAGGCAGATTTGAAGACTTTTACTAGTTTGTTTCAGTGGCTTAATAAAAAGGTAGTGTGACTGCATGTGGTAGTTTGCAGTTTCTTTAGCAACAGGCAATTTTTATTAAGTAGTGCTTGTCAGTATTTGTCTAGGTGTATAAGTACAAAATAAATCCTTTGGTAAGGGTAAATTATTTTTTTCCTCAGTTAGGATTTCAAGATTTGTTGTATACTGTCGTCCAGAAGAAAAATTGGTAAAAATAGTAGTTAATGTCAGTTGTCATTGCTGTTCCTACAGTGTGCTCCAGAAAATGTGCCATGTGTTTGGGAGAAAGGGTTTCATTTCAAAGCTTGTCCTTAGCTTGTTCTCAGTGTTTAAGATGTTAGTTACTTATAAGTTATTTTTAAAGCAACTCCTTAAAGCAGCTGTGTCACTTCTGAGATGGACACAAAGCAATTTAAGTTTTCAGAACAAGGTATGTTTCAGGAAGATTAGTGAGCATAATATTGTATGGTCTGCTTCTCTCTTGCCACTAGAATGTTTGAAATATTCAAAACGAAAACATACTTGTTTCTAAGAGCCTTTGCCATTCAGCCAGCAATGTTCAGGAAGTATTTTTGTTACTGTAGCTAGGCCATTGATACTATTTGTGACAGAAAATATGCTTTTATTAAAAACTATTCTCTCTTTATTTCCTCCCCTTTCCCCAGGTATTTATTACACAAGTTTGTAGGACTGTTGAGTCAGCTCCCCTGAACTCTGATGTGCAGCTGGCTGGACTCAGGCTGTTGACAAATATGTCTGTTACCAGTGACTACCACCAAAAGATGATAAACTCAATTCCGTGCTTTCTTCATTTGCTTTCAGAAGGAACTGAAAGGACACAGGTACTGTGTAGTGTTATTTTTACAAGCCATTTATGAAGTTGCTTTGCTTGCGTTGTTTTTTAACGTTTTGGTAAAATGGTTTACACTGTGCTAAGAAAAACCAAATATTCATTAATGATAACAGATTTTATGCACTAAAATATGGATCTATATTAGTCTCACAACATAAACTCAAAAATGGGGGGGGAAGGGAATTTTGGTAGTGGAACCATCAGGCTACAGCCCTGCACTGCGATTGCTCTGTGCCTTTGCCATAGCAACTCCAGAATTCTCTTCTACTCTAAACATTGCAACTGCATCACAGCGCAAGGAGAACCTGCATGGGAAAGGCTTCACTGATACATGAATCTCTGTAGGGACCCATGCCCAAGCAGTGGTCCTAAGTTATGGATTTTAGTTCCGTTATGCTTATCACACTTCTAGCAACCTTAGTGACTGCAAGTGGAAATTGTGCTTATTTGTGACTTACTGTAATACTGAAATGAGCTTCAGTTAGGGACCAAACTCAGCTTTTATTCAAGATACTGTGGTACCATCAGTGTATGTGGTTGCTTTCAGACCAAAACCAGTTTTCCAAAACCACATTTCAACTAAACGTAACACAGCTATTGTACTTCAGTACAGGAAGTAATATGGCCTTTTTCTAAAGACTAGCATCACAAGGTCCAAGAAAGCACAAAGGTGTATTTGTATATGCTTTAGATAATTTTAAATGCAGTACTTAACCACCTTCTATTTTGGAAATAGTCTGCATTTGGCCTACTGGGATTCATTTATGGTTCTTGCCTTATTTTAAGTCAATCTGAATTTGCTTCTAACATGTCTGTACCTTGGTTTTCCCTATGCCAAATTGCTCAAGATATTGGTTAACCCATTTTGCCTTTTTCTCCCCAAGTCAACTTTGACGTTATTGATACCCATTACAACTTTACTTACTGTTTTGGAGCTTTTAATGAACTTGAACATTCCTCACTTCAGATTCAAGTTTTGAAAGTACTTGTGAACTTATCTGCAAACCCAGCCATGACAGTACATCTTCTCAGAGCTCAAGTAAGGTTCTTGCTGCTTCATTTTATTTTTAGCATATATTCATGTGTACCAGTTAAAATATTGCATGCACTAGAAAAATTTTAATGTATTTGAAATATATGTGCAATTCCAGAATAAATTCTAGACACTGCTTGGTTAAAATCAGTAGCTAAGTGCACATTATTTCACAGGTGGGGCTTTATTCCAGAGGGTAGTGTAATACAGATACTGTATTTTGAGAAGGAGAGGCATGGGACCTGTGCACTTGGAGACATTGCTTGTACTTCCTGTGTACCATTCCAAATAATCAATGATAACTTGCAGAAGCCTGTTCTAACCTTCCCTTTCCACCAAAGATGTAATACCATGAACTTCAGCTTGTATTATGTAAAAGGAACCCAAAACTTCATTTCCAGACACAGTCAGTATATGGACTGAAAATCACCAAATAGAACTGGTACTGTAAGTGATCCTCCTCAACTGCTATTTCTATAGCCAACATACTGGACCAAACCCAACCAAATTTCACTGGAATTCCCACTCCTTTATTCAAATGCAGCAATAAAACTGTTGCCTCAAAGTGCTCTAAGTGACCCTTCCCTGTGCATTTACTTATTTCTTCATGGAGAAATTTGTGTGACATTTGCTGTGTTTGCCTTGGCACACAGGTTTCTTTCAGTTTCAATTCCTCACAAAGTCGGGGGCTGGAATGGTGCTGCATCCTCATCCCCCTCCCCAAAGTTGCTTTCTTAAAATGTTAGTTACTTATAACTGATATAAGTTAAAATGCAATGGGTTTCAGTGAGCTATTTGCCACAAGCAAAGCTAGTCTAGATAATGCTGTCTTTTCATTATTCAAACAAGGTTAGCATTGCTAAATATTCAGTTCTCTGTTTAGTGTACCATTTTTTCATTTATCAATTATACTAACAAAAACATTCAGGGCAAAATCAACGTGACTGAGAAGGAAAGCATACCCCCTCTTCCAAATGGGAATTTTCCAGACAGCCACATTTTGGAGATTGAAAATACAAAGCATTTATTAGCCCATTGATGCACAGGCCAGTCTTTTCTAAAGAGAAAATGTGCACACTGTGCAAGTTTCTGACAGGAGTTCAGAGCATGCTGGGATTTCATACAATTTCTTGTTTAGATGGCTTAGGTGCATTTTTTTCCATTTTCTGAAGTGTGATTTAGTTACACATACTTACTGCTGGTGGTTAAGTATGGACTATTTCTTCAATATCCTAGGTGCCATCAATGGTGTTGCTTTTTGACAGCTGTGTAAACAGAGATATTCTGGTTCGAGCCCTGGTATTTGCAGCAAACTTGAAAAAGAACATGAATGATGAAGAAGGCATCGTGATTGAGGAATACAATGAAGACTCAGTTTTCTTCACACTCTGCAGGGACTCTGCCCCATTCGCTCAGAGACTGGCATCTTTGCTGCATCACCCTGACACAGAAGTGAAAGAACAAGTTGTGAGAATATTAACACAATAGTGTTGTTTTCTTAAAACAGACTGACCTGATGAAAATATCTAATCTTGGTACTGCTATGCTAAAAAAGTCTGCAGCAAGTAAACAATACAACAATGATGGAGGAAAAAAAAGCCCTAAATACTGTCATTTTAATAGGCACAAATTATTTACTACAAAAGAGAATGCTGTGTATTTAATACAGACAGCATAACAGATATTTTTTACAAGCAAGAGAAAAGCAATAGTTTAATTATTACTGATAAACCACTGCACAGTTGCTACATTTGTGCAATGGGGGCAAACCGTTTAAAACATGAAAGCATTTATATGTAAAATGAACATTTTAAATGGATGAGTGAAGTGAATGAAAATATCCTTCGCAATGTCAAAGACCTTTTTTTACTTTAAGTATTGACAGCTGTTAAATAAATACCTCATTAGGATTGTGCAATAAAGATTTAGCAATCGGAGATTAGGCATTTATATTTTATTAGTCTACCTATGAAAATGGTACATCTGAATCTTACAAAATAATATCAAATAAAAACAATACCGGACTATCATTGGCTTCCTACAGAATCAGTATCTTCAATAAAAGCTGCATACTAAAGTCACCAAACCTAGGTTTTTTCATTGTACCTCTATGGAATTTATTCTTAAACTCCATTTTTGTATGCTTAGGCTTAGTATATCCACTCCATTTAGCCAAACTGCAGTGCAATTAACCACAACTGTGAAAGGTTTCTACATTTGAACAAAAATTGAAAGGATTTTATATTGGTTTAAAATTGTCACTTTAGGGAAAGCAGACATATTTTTAAAAAGTATTTTATTAGGAGTCAAGGATTATCTGCAACTGCAATTCAGCATTCTCATTCTTATTAAAAAAAAAAAAAGAAGTCTACAGGAGCAGTATCATACACTTTTTTACAAAAGCTTCCAATTCTGTAGCAGCCCTTGGGCTTCTTTCCATGGATATCTTTACTCCTTTTTTTTCTGCAACTGGAGCATCACTGGAATGAGTGCTTCTGCAGAATTAGCCCCTGTAAAGTTTTAGTCAGCAACCCAGCATTAATTCAAAATGAAGCGGAATCCATACAAACACAATTGTAAAAGAACCTGAACAGAGTTTCACTGATGAAAAGAAAACATACTGGAAAATACTTCTAGAACCTAATTACTAAAAAACTTCCACTACAGAGAAACTAAGAAAGGTGTCAGATGTAAAGGCTAGGAAAGTTTTCCACTTTGTTCTGTTTTTAAGAGAACTGTATCACCTAAACTCTGCTCTTAAGAAAACATTACTATCTTCTCTTTCTGTAATGCAATAGCACCTTGTTTTCAGAAGGTCACTTTGCAAATAGCTAAAACTGCAAGAAAAATATGACCTTGAAACTGTGGCACACCCATGCCCTGATCAATACAGGGGTAAAGCTACACGTATCTAAAATATCCACTTAGGTAGTTTTAACTCACCAGGAATACAGTTAAGGCAGAAATAGAAGTTGGCATGATTCCCAGTCAGAAACTTGACAATTGCTGCATTGAAAGTGAACTTCCTTTTCTCCTTCCCACTGCTCCTAAAACACTGTACAGTTTGTAATAAGCAAGTTACATTGCAATCACTTAACGTTTTGCAACTTTTTGTAGATTTAATGTTTTCTCCTACTGAATTTGACTAAGAAAAATAAAGACTAGGCCAGACACTAAGAATTTACCCACTGCTCTCCTGACAAGACATTAAGACCAGTCTGTTCTAGTTATAGCTGATACATGGTTTCTTAAGCTCAACAACAGAGATATCTAGATGTCCCTTTCTGTGTTCTCCAACCTAAAAATAATTTTTTCAAGTACCATCTTTTTGATAGAGTTGATCTCTTATCCATTGTTTTGACAGCTGACAGAAACAAGTAATCTTTTCTAAAAATACATGAAAACTTACTACAGCATTGTCTCAGTTTTCGTTTTCTGGTCTATAAAGAGCTATTTTTAAATGTTTTCTTCATAGAACAATGCTGTTGAGATGTTTGAAATCATACAAGACTTTCCAGTGTGCCTTTTTGCAAAGATGTCTCATTTTTATCACCCACCTCACACCCTTGGTGGAATCTTATCATCACTAAGCAAAATGTAACGGTCACCATTCTAGGAACAAATGTTGAGAATTAGCAGATCCAAAGCAACACGTGTCATTACTGACATTTAGTTTCTGATCCATGTAACTCAGTATATCTCTGCTCTGTGGATGCTTAGCTAGGTGTTCTGTATTTTAGTTTCACTCTTTCTGAAGTAAATAATTTTACAGAATAACCTATTGATGTTTATAAAAACAGGAAAACAACCCATAACAAAACCAACCTTAATCTTAAACTTGTCCTTCAAAGTACTCAAAACTTCCTGCAGCGTGGTGTCCTCCACAAAATTACAAACAGGTAATATACATTGTATCACCCCAAGTAGTTATTGAATCTGTTGTGTAAATACAAGAGACTTCATCTGAAACACCCCCAACACTGAAAAACAAGGTAGTTTTAATCCAGCTTTGATAACTGTCTATAGTTAAAAGATTATTTTAGTTGTTGGCCATGAAATCTTATGAACTGGTTTTAATTAGTTGCCAGAAGTTCATGCCTTTAAATAATATATCTTTTTTTATATATATTTATCTTTGTGGGATATGAAAATAAAATATACAGCAAGAGCAAAAAAAAAACAAACCCAAACCAGGCCACATATCCTATAGACCAAAAGAAATCAAAAACAAAAAAACAAAACATGATTTGCCAATGAAATTATGCAAGAGAATAACAACCCTTTTTATTGGCAACAATAGGCTTTAATTCTGTAAATTAGCAAGACAATTTGATACAGACACATTTGGCCAAGTTTTATAACACTGAACAATGTTGTAATCTTGATTCGACTTTAAAATTATAGGGAAGCTATTAGAAAAAATACCACAGCCCTTACTTAAGACTTTCTACTGGGAAAAAAAAAAATGGTTCTTAGAAAAAAGCTGAGTTAATGCAAGGACAAGTGACATTAAGAGGTTTTTCCCCTTCATGTGCTGCAATTCAGACTAACTTAATTCAGACTAACATTCAGACTAACTTAAAAACATAGACAAAACAATAAAAGTGTGCAGATATTCTGGCCAGCAGTTAGTTTTACACATCCATGATGCAATATTAAATTATCTCTTTCTTTAAAAGGCACATTTCTTTGATGTAAAATTCAGCTTTTGTGGTTCATTAATACATGAAAACGAAGAGTGAAACAATTTTACTATGCTTGTGCTTTAACAACATTAGCTGTATTGGAAGACTTCACCCCACAAAACATACAGTGAAGCTGTAATGAAGCTTGTACATCAAGGTACAGGGCATAACCTGAAGACTAACAAGTGGGAGATGACAGTCTAACAATGAATAATTCAAGTCAGCCATTAATCCTAAGAATATGTTCTGTGCTGAAGTTATTATTGCTGCTGCAGGTAAGATGAAGAGTTTAAAAATAATTTTTTTAATCAGTGGTGTACATCAGAGCAAGTTATTCCCAGACAACACTTAATATATAAACCACTTTTAGATCACCTAATTATAAACAATGTAACTAGTTAAAATTTGTCATGAAATTGGTATGCAAGCTTTAGTTCTGAAACTGACAAACTTGGCATTTAGAAATCCAATTCAATCTCAAAAATCTATTGTGTACATTATGTTAGTATTGTGACATTAATTGCTAGATCAAATCAAACAGGGCTTACAAGGAACTGACACTGTTTCAGTTTTCAAATCGGTCATTTGTATTCAAATTCCGTGATTCTCCATGGCGTAAGAGAAAGAAGTCATCTTTTTTCAAGCCATATCTTTCAAGAGCTTCATTCAATTTAACCGGAGGATCCAAGTAATACTGAAAAAAATGAGAATAATATGAGGGAAAATATACCACTGCAACATTTTTTGAAGGGAAAAAAAATATCTCTAAACAACGGGGGGAGGAGGAGGATATTTGTCAAATTAAAATGTTTGGATTCATTTGAAGTCTTTGAACGATAAGAACAGTGATTTGCAGCTGCAGAGTAACTAGCAAGGCTCAACTTGTCAGCCCCAGCTCAGCCGCCTTAAGGCAGCAGTGGATCCCTCGGAGGAAGCGCTGGCCGCCAGCAGCCGGCGCTTTCTTTCCCTCGCTCTGCAAACCCGCGCTGGCAGCGCTCCTGTCCGAGCGCTCCTCTCAGCTTACCGCGGTGTATTGTTACATTTCCGAAAGGCATCGTCAAGGAGTAACCATCTAAATACACAGTAACATTTCTACTGCGGGCACTAGAAACACTGTTTATTGAAACATTGCGGACAGGAAATGTTCTATCCATGCATCACACCCTATGTTCCCTCCGTGCATAGACAGGACGGAACAATTGACAGATCAGGTGATCACACTATCAGGAATGAATGATGAGATAAAGTGGTGCAACTAATGCAAAAACAAAGTTGAAAAACAGCTACCAGGCAATATCAAAGCAAATGTTCCTATTCATTGCACTTTCAGTTGCTGTGAATGTATCTGGGTAACCTTCTTATTAGAACTGTGGACTTGGGGGAGGGGTGCAGAGGGAAATAAAACATTTTAAAAACCATCAAAAACTCAGAATAACTGATTTATTTCATATCCTTACTGGTTTTAACTTTGAATCAACTATTAAAAATACTGTTTATATATTTAGTGGACAGACATAATAAATACTGTATTGACCCACAGGCATGCAGTTCTTACTATCTCCAAGTGATGCACCACTCTGTTTTTATTACTGCATAACACTACATAATACTGCATGTGTCCTCATCTGTTATGTTCCTCAGCATTTGGATATCAGAAATCCTCCACATTTGCTTCAATAACTCTGTACTTTCTTAACTATGGAAATATTTTGTGTAATTGGTTATGAAAAGCTAAGCATTGTTTTGAACAGCAGTATATAGAGTAATAAGATTTCACTAATACAAAGTTCACATTTTAAGTTTACATTTACAGATATGCAAGTTAAATCGCACAAGCAAAGCTTCACTAATGACTATCTAGTCCTTGGAAATCTGAACTCATGTTTAGTTTTGCAATTTACCTCATTTGCTAAAGCAAAGGTCCCCCAGTGAATTGCTACAGACTTCTTTGCTTGAACATCAATATGGATTCTTACTGCTTCTTCAGGATCCACGTGCTGGTATTTCATAAACCACCTACCAAAACAAAGAGGCACTTTTTTGTGTCACCTAATCCAACGCAAGATTTCTCCTTTACTGCCATTGCAAAGTACAAAAAGAAATATGTGCTCACCTAATAAAAAAAATCATAAGCATGTACACCTGGACAACATACAGAACACTCAAAACTCAAGATCAAGAAACTAATGTACACAAACATATCCATCAAACAGCAGTTCATTTATTGTACTCTCTTTTTGAAGGATTTTTTCTTATCTCTAGTTTCAATAGGTTAAGGACATATTACTGGTGCCTTGAGGCATTAGGGCTGAAACTTCAAAGCAGTCCCTGAAAAAATTTTGGGGCTAGCAGTACACACCAAGAAGTGTGTGCTTCTGAGATAGCCCAAGGGAACAGGCAAAACGGAAGAGAAAACTTGGCAATTTTTGAAAGATACTGATTTTTTACCACGCTATTTAGATTCCCATCTTCTTTTGTCAGCCCATATATGTTTTCTTTATAAGTGTGTATGAGTACTATTGTCTAAATGTTTCCTCCAAAAGGAGAAAAGTTATCTCTCGTGAGCAAACAGATTTTTCATACTCTATAAGTAAGAATTTCATACTCTTTGTCTACAGGTAAGTTGTAAAACCAAAGTAAACACTGAAGGAAGAGAAAAAGAGCAAATGACACACACTGGAATGGGCTGGATTAAATTGCACTGTTTCAGAAAAAAAGGCACAGAGTAATAATTCCAGATTTTTACTCAACATGTTTAAAGGAAGAAAGACTGCTGATTCATCCTTGCTTAAGTCTGAAGAAAAAACTCTCCAAAAACATCAAACATACACATACTTTTTAATAAAGTACACCTACAGCTTTAACTTCTGGGTGTATTTTTTGTCATCAGTACATAATTTCATTTATGTATATTGCCCAAACTCTGATTTTCCTACCTTGGTTCATAGGCTCCAATGGGGATGGCTGCAAGATCAAAAGGTCCAAATCTTTTACCTATTTGTTCAAAAGCAAAACAATATCCAGTATCTCCTGCAAAGAAAAACCTATTCCAAGGTCCCAAGACAGACCAGCTGCCCCAGAGAACCTTGTTATCATCTGTCACAGTCCTTTTACACCAATGCTGGGAAGGGGTGAAGACAAAAGTTACCGCATCATGACCAGGGACACAGTTCTCCTCCCACCAATCCAGTTCGATCACATTCTCACAACCACATCTCTGCATCCACTGCAGGAGCCCCAGGGGCACAAACCAGCGCAGCTCGCTCCCGAAGCGCTGGTTCAGGCTGGCCACGCTGTTGTAGTCCAGGTGATCGTAGTGCGTGTGGCTGATCAGCACCGCGTCTATCTTGGGCAGCTGCGCCACCGTGCACGGAGGCCCTCGGAAGCGCTTAGGACCCAAGAGCTGAACAGGGGAGGCTCTCTGGCTGAAAATGGGGTCAGTAAGAAATACGAGTTCATCCATTTCCACCATAACTGTGGCATGTCCCAGCCATGTGACTCGCATACCAGCTCCTGTCTTCCCAGCATCTTCTGGTGTTTGAACAAAGTAAGGTTGTAACACTGGGAGTTCTTTGTCGAGTTCCTGGCAAAAAAGAACACAATATGCATGAGAGATTTCAGAATGTACTTGGCCGTGGAACAAAAACTGCATACAAGGCACAGATCCATACAGTCAAGACTTGGACTTTGTTTATGCTTTTATGCAGAGAACTGCAGCACCCACCAGACGCCTTTTTCATGTCCATTTTCCCAGCTGCTTCATCCTAATTTGATTTTAGGTTTTTGCAACATTTACACTTCCCTGTCGAGAAAGAGAAGAGAGTATCCCTTCAGGCCAGCAGACCTGATAGAGTCTGGAGGCATTGCAATGAAAGCACTGCAAGGCAGTAACAGCATCCCAGGAAGGGATTCCTCCACCTGAAAAAGAATATGTATACACACACACAGATTGTTATTTAACAAATACTCAAGTTTAGCTTATGCTACTAAATGATGCAATCTAATAAATCCTAGCACAAGTAAGTCATAGATGAAAGAAAATGCCACGCTCCCCAGTCATGCTCCGCAAAAGTTCTGCTAGCTTTTATCAGGCCCCCTCTATATCCATCCTCATTACATCTAGAAGTAGCACACAAAGGTTAACTTCACTTGGATAATGTTACCTATTCTGCCTTCCCATCCTGCCAAGAATTTAATGACATTCATAAAAACAAAGTAATTTTTAAGATAAACCTTAAAGTACTTAGATATGCTTGGTTATGAAAAGGTTCCCCCACCTCCTCTCTTACTCCAGCGTGACAAGTTTTGCAGTCCCTACTTGAGTACGACAGGTCAGAAAACTGATCTGGCTGAGCACTAATCCAGAGGTAAAAAATACACAGTTCTCATTTTGGTTGGCTCCAATTTGACTCTGTGTGTATCCTCAAGCTGGCACAAAGGTGGCCATGGCTGTACATTACCTACTGAAACTCACTGCCCAACCACCACTCATTCTCTCATTTTGAACCAGAGTTATGCTCTTCACTGCAGTTTGGTTGAAGTGCTAATGCAGAAGTTTTATATGCAATAAATAATAGCTTTCCTATTAAAAAAGAAACAAACAACAAAAAACCAAAAAAAAAACCCCACAACCAAAGAGTCTTATTAGAATCCTGACCATGTCTAGCTCAGCCACAATGTGGCTAAGGCTCTCCTCCCAAACACTTATGGTTGGAACTCTTCACTTTGCTTTTAAAGAATTTTCATGTGCTACGGCAGCTTCTAGGCTCCTGACACTCCTCTCCCTCATAATCACAAATGTCCCAGCACTTCTGGTTCCAAGTCAAGTTCTGCCTGACATGGCTGCAGCTCTCATTCTCTCAGCCTCGTACAGATTAGCACTTTCAGTGAGTTTATACAGAGCTGATCTTGTGCTCCTTTAAAAGCCCAGCTGATGTTGTGACAGTTTAGGACTCCAGGAGTTGCCTTGCTAAACCAGTCCTGACAGCTTCAGGGAAGTTACTTTCTCCACAATATTTTATTGATTTGGAAGGCATATGTTGGGAAAAACAAAGCATGCACATCTCCATTCCCCTGCAATTCTGCTGTAAATAATAAAATATTAATGAAATTGCTTTTTCTGAGAGCTAATGGACAAGACATGTTTACTGAACAAGTTTCATTACTGTCTCCAGGAATGAGAAATAGATAACCTCCTATAAAGCTGAATGTAAGGTCAATACAATTCAATCCCCTAATTCATATAAGAAAAGCAGGAATCTTAGACTGAGATAAATGGCTGCTTCACCAAGAAAGAAGCCATCATTTTCTTATCTCTATTTCATTCTAAGTACATGGGAACAACATTGGCCACAGAAATCTGAACCACAGAAGTGTTATACTGTGATATTTCAATTTTAAATAAAAGAAAGATACACAAAACTAACATCATACTCAAAAATGGAAATTAGGACAAACGAACAAATTACATATGGTTAAGTCAACAAATCAGATTATATCAAAGAAATAAAACTCAGATATGGAACTTAATGAATAAGTTCATAATGCAATTTAGGTCAGTTAGTACATTTTTTATGGAAAATGTTCTTTTTAAGTAGCTGGTTTTAGAGATAGACTCCAAATTTTCTCAGAACTAAATTAATTCACTTATTTTTGCTGAGGCAGACTGATATTTTAGCTATTGCTGAGCAGTGCTTACACAGCATCTCAGCCAGCTGGCTGGGGCACACAAGAAGCTGGGACAGACACAGTTGGGACAGCTGACCCAAATCCATCAGAGAGATATCCCATATCATATGATATTGCACCCAGCAGTAATATCTGGGGTAAGAAGGAGGAGGTGGGGGACATTCAGGGTGAATGGTTTTTACCTTTCCAAGTACTGCTACATGGGATGCAGCCCTGCCTTCCTGGGGATGGCTGAATACCATGCAAAGACAATAAATTTCTTAGTTGGCTTTTGCACGCATTTTTTGCTTTACCTATTGAACTGTCTTTATCTCAAATCACAAGTTATCTGATTTTTCCCCTTTCAATTCCACTGGGGTGCAAACAGTGGCGGGGGGGTAGAAGTAAGCAGCAGACTGGCACTTGGTTGCCTAAAGCCACAACACATCTGCACTACTAATAAAGGCTTTACAATGATGTCGCTGGGTCTGATGCTATCAAGTATTTAGAATAGTTGATTTAAAGGTAGAACTATACAGTATAAAAGTCACACAGACAGGAAGATTGACAGAGAAGAGCATAGTCCAAACTGCTATCCTGATCTATTTAAATGAAATCCTGTGAACAAAAGTTCAAGACAAACCAAGAGCACAAAGGCAGTGCAACTTGTGGATCTCCAGGTTTGTGATACACAGGCCTCTGATCCAAAGCAATGATTCCTCAGAGGGTGTGATTAGAAATCAAGCATGTTGCTGAGCTATCATGGTAAATCACATCAAAACATTACTTCTGCATGTGCATGTGATTTATGCTTGGGGTTGTTTGGTTTTGGCTTGGTTTTTTTTTAGTATTTTACAAAAGCACACCAAAATACCTTTTTAATAGAAATAAGAAATACTAGTAAGATTTCAAACTAAAACACAAGTTCTATTAGCAGTATACTTCACATTAAATACTTAAAACTCGTACAACAGGATAAAGAAATATAATGAATAAAATATGTATCTTATTGAACTTTTATCCTGCTATAATACATTTTGTTCTGTCAGACTAACCAGAAACATATTAAAACTAGAAGAATTATAACATATTTTTGAAATACAGTAATTATGTCAAATGAGCTACCAACAGAAGTAAAATGTGCTCAATGCTGTCTTATTTTCATTACTCATGTAATACAAAAAATTCCTCCTGCTGTGTCCCTTCCCCCTCCCTGTTCTTCTTTCCCTTCTAATGCAAAGCAAGAAAAAACACATGACAGGCTTTGCTAAGACTAGCTGATTAGCTTGGGATTTTTGGTGCTTAGTGTATACTGGAATACCACAGGATTTATAGAAATGAGAACAATCTAAACTGCTGATCCAACAACTAATAATTAAAGATCCTCCAACAGCTCTGAACAAAGTTATTAATAAAGCCTGTAATGAAAATACAAGAAGTCCATGCATCCTGGATGCAGGCTCATTCTGAAGGCATGATTATAATACATATAGCTTTTTCACAGTGAAGCACAAGCATATATCCTGGATAATATACTAATTTTTACATATATAAAGCACTTGGTACAGATAAACTGAACCTGCCCAGCACAGCAGGGCATCACTAGGCTCACTCAATGTGGCAACTGAAGCAGGAGTCTGCTCAAAGGACGTGACATCTAGCAGCGAAAAATAAAGTATGGAGCCCTTAGTTTGAATTTTAAACAAGCTCAGATGCACTTCACAGGCTGATGCAGGGGTGGAAGAAAACTGGTGGAAATAAGCATCAAAATGGCTGAGGACTCCAGAAGTGCATTTCATTGAGCCCTAAGTTTTTCTGTTTCTGATTTACTTCACCAAACTCGTGAATAATTGCAGATGCCTAACTAAAAGATTTCCTATGCAAAAAATAAAGTTAGCCCATGATTAATCCAAACTGTGTCAGAGAGATGGCTTTTTGGCTTTTCAACTGGTGCCTTGTAGATTTCTTTGTGATCATCCTTTACTGTAGGGACAAGCTGTAAATTAAAGGGGAGTGCTGCAGTTCTGCATTCCATCAGAGTGCTGTATGCTCTGCACTCCACAGTACAGCTCAGCATTGCCTTTGAGGAACTTCAGTCACTGCCCAGGTTTCTGACTGGCACTGGGAAGACATGAGGCCTGTTCTACACAGACCAAGGAGGGCAGCGGCCAAAGGCAACTGAAAACATACAGGTGTGCATTTCATGGAGATGTGTTCAGCACACTGTCTAGAAAGCTGTACACACTGATACATGTTGTTGATACCACAAGGAAGACACCAAAATTTAAAAAGTAAATTGCTGAAAGGGATCCCAAGACTGACACAGTTTGCTGTTTGCCTAAGTCAAATTATTTTTTATTATTATTATATTACAGCCAAGATTATTTGTTTCTTAAACATCCCCAAACCTCTGACCATCATGCGTTAATGCCTAATGTGGCTTTCTTGTCCACAGAACTGATAGCATTCCTTCCTTCACAGGTAGTTCAGGTAAGACAAAATGGAAAGCTCTTTACTAAATACTGGCTGTGAGATTTATAGATTGTGCATACCTTCCTGCATGCTTACAGGCATTATTAACACCTGCTTGCTAACAAATACTGTCCTTGGTTTATGCACCCTTCAGCACAGCTTTTCTGAAGTATAGTCAACACATCAGAAATACACTGAGAAGTGATTCTGTCAAAACTTAGTCATCTTCATACCTCCTGTGACCATAAAGATAACCCATGGCTTTCCAGCACCCATTACTCTTCATGGGAAAGAAGCTTCTCCTGTCTCCTTCCTTACATACAATATCTGACTAAAGCATTTCACCAAGAACAAATAACAGTGTTACCCAGTAAACTGGCACTGCACTTCAAGTGTTTCAGTACAAATACTTGCGCAGGTTGGTTTTAACATATACAATTTTTTCTGTGTACTGAAACATAAAAAAAGGATTTGTAAGTATCTTCATAAGTGACAAACTATTACATTTTCATGCAAGAGATGCAACGTATGCATTAAATTGCCATCTGGAAAAAAAGGCAAAATTAAAAAAAATGGATATGTCATGAAAGAAGCTATTTCATGCAACACAAATTAAGTTAATAGTATGCTTCATAAGACAATACCTATTAAAAATGAATGGCTGTTACTGGTTTATAACTAAGGGGGCCAATTTTTTTTGTTTTTATAACTGAGCTGTATAAATTAAAGTGTGGGGAACTAACAAGTAGATAAAAATTAAAGAGGTATAAAGTATTAACCCACCTTTTGAAAATAATAAAATGTCAATAAAATCAGAAAAGTAAGGCTTGGAAAAGTCTCCAGAAGATGCCTAATGAGTATTAGAAACTGTCCTATTTTATTGATTAGAACAGAGGCAAAAGCAGTTTTAACCACAAAAGTAAAACATGGAAGTATTCACCTGCTTGGAGCGTGGCACATTGCTGTTATTTTTTTCCATGAAGGACCATTTCAAAATGTTGGGTAAGGTTGGTGATTTCCATGTTGGCCACGGGTTGACAAATCTCCCATCTTTGCCTCTCTTTGATTTAGTTACATCCTCTTCTAATCTGTAGTCCAGCCTGAAGCTTTTTCTGAAGGTCCTGTAAGAATCGGAATTGCCTCCGGAACCTCGACCCGAATTCTGACGTTTCTTCACTGCTTCTTTAGGGTACTGGTTACAGGCACTTGAAGGCTGTTCTTGGTCTGTGTTCTTATCCATACCTTTTTCAGGAGAGCTAAATCAAATTTTAAATTAATCAATATTTTCTTGGTCTAGCATCAACATTCATAAGACTGAATGTTCTCACACACATCAGGAACGAGCCCGCCTTTCCTGTTTTATGATCTACTGTATTTTTTTAATCAACAAAATATGCTTTTAAAACAGTTGCTATTGCACAAAAGACTTCAAAAACATGCTGTGACAAGCAGACATGAGGGCTCTTTGTAGTTCAGGCCGAATTTTACTCTCTGGAATGCACAGCTTCAGATACTAACACTATTTATTATCTACCAACTGCAAAAGTGAGGGGGAAGGGTTCCTTAATTTACATTTTGGAAGAATAGCCATTCCTCCTGAAACTCATGACATTTAGTGCCTGATGTAATATGATCCTGCAAGTCTGTGCAACAGACACTGGAACTATACTGTACCTTAGGATTTGCCTATATAGTGACTTGGTTTTGTAGCAAAAACAGCAGTCTTGTGTAGCATTACTAACACTTATACCAACACACATGCAGGAAACTCGGAACACAAAAGATATTTGGTACTGTTCTGTATTTTGTCTAAAACAAACAAGAAGTTTATTATAATAAAGGTCAATAACTGTTTCAAATATAATTTTGATATACATTTAACTGAACTGACTGGTGAAAGGCCACAGGAAATTAAATATTTTTAAATCACAGCTGCAACATTCACTCAATCCCATTGTGAAACAGAAAAGTGAGAAAATAACTGAGAAAAGCTTGTTTCTATAAAGCCATGATTCTGGTACAGTTCTTAGAAAACCATGAACTCATTAGTCAGAGTCTCCTATTCCAAACTGCACTTAAGTGTTGCAGACTTTACAAATATAATCAAATTAAACCCAAGGTAAAAAAAACCAAATATCACTATTTTATTCTGGAAGTTGCTAAAGCAATTAAATTGAATCTAAATGCTTCAATTTCCATATTTACATTCAACTGAAATGTTGACAGTAAATACACTGTCCTGTTAGCTTTAAAAAAAAAAAAAAGTTACTGTTTTAATGAGTGCACAGCTTTCTGGCGTTTACAAAGTCTACCTAATTAAAACTAGACAGCACTATTTACAGCTTAGGTACAGTAATAATTTTTAATAACAAATTGTGAAGTCCATCCTGTGGAAAATTCTCCACCATATCTAGTAGAGGACACAGTTTTGTCCTATCTACTGTTTCACTAACTCAAATACTCGGACTCCAGCTGTACACTCAGAAGCACTGGGCTGATGTAGGCAAGGCAGTCCATGCAAACATTGTCAGAGAACAGAATGGAAGCTCAAAGTTTTCTTAGAAATCAAGTAAATCATTCTACCCCCTATAAGCTCAATTAGAGGGAAGATTAAATATGTTGTTCACTGCAACATTTCAACTAAGATATTACACACATGTATCAGCAAACTGAACCCAAATGCTTTTGCTGATGATGCTCCAACTTCAAATGCAGTCCATTTCTGCTATTTCAGCAGCAGCTGATGATGAAACACTAAGTATGGTATCAGCTGCAAAGAATATGACAATTGATAAATATTGTGAAATTTTCTTAACAAAATAACCATTATTGTGCTATACAGTAGAGATAAAATACTAACACATCAAAATTCATTTCAAATAAAAAAGGCATGAACTGCATTCAGAAAACATGGCTGATTTTTTTACCTCAGTCACAATCTTATTTTTTGTAATTGCTTTGTATTCCTGTTTCCCTGCAGTTTTACTGAAACTACTCCACTTATATACTTCCTATTTAGCATTAGGATACCTTATCTGCATCATAATTTAAATTTAACTGTTGCTATTTCTAGGCTTTTTTCCTCTATTCCACTAAACATTTCCCAGAACCAGGCTTCAATGAAACACTCAACTTGCTCTTTAGTATTTTACACAGAGGTAAACGATAACACAAGGAATCAGTGACACAAAAAGGCAGACAGAATACCCAAAAAATGGTACTGAATACTTTAACTTAAGAGTTGGGTTTGGGTTGTCTTGCATTCCTCAAAGAGCATTTTCAATGCCAAGTCAGTTTATTAATTTAGCAAAGCACACAGACATAGCATAAAACAGCTACTCTTTTAGAAAGCATAATGAAAACAAATCACAAAAGTTTAATCAGATAGGTACTTAATTCCAGGAAATTATTCTCTTAACATCTCAGATGTCTGATTTTTAAAATATATATAACTACCATAATTATTGCTCCTGTAAGACATTTTAGATTAGAGACTGGGGTGCCTAAAGTTTTATTTTTAAGCTTCTGTTTATCTATTCATTCATCTCTAAAATAGGTGAATTTTACTTTTGCTTAAACCTTCATATAAACCTTTGATCTTTTTCTGAAAGTATAAACCCCTAAGGGAAGCAGGGATCAACTATGCTGATTAAACAAAGACAATGCCAAAGCATTTAAGGCACTGCAGGTATCTATCTGTCTGCCAACATATTTTCCACATGATGCACATACATTACTTTCATTAGTATTCCATAAGCAACTGAAGGGATAAAAGACCTCAGTGCTCACAGAATACTTTAAATCTTTTATATGCATAAGAAAGGGACATATTTACAATCAGTTAAAGTATTCTTGATGAATTGTAGGTTCCTTTGAAGTATCAGTCTTGCCAGATAATTTCTCTTCCATTTAAATTTATTAAATATATACTACAATATTCATGACATTTTCTTATATAGAAGAGCAAGATGATAATTTCTTGAAAGCCAGAAATCATTAGCTTAAAATAAAACTCAACCGATTATTAGACCAAGGAGATTCTTATGCTTTTGCAAAAGAAAGCCTCTACAGATAAGGAGATTAGCAGGTATACTTTAAATACTAGAAAATACCCAACCAGAAATCGGTTGGTTTTTCTGCCAACTTTCCTCAATTCTTCCTACCCAAAACTAATTGTTTGGAACTTGAAAAACTACTTTAAGCACTTGAATGTCAGCAAAAATTATGAGCTATAGACATACGAAAATCAAACTGGAGCAGAGTTCTGTTCACTTAGGAGGGACAGAGGGAAGGGATCACATCCCTGGTGAATCTTTATTGTTATGTAATGTTCTACACAAAATCTTTTTATACTTTTAAATATAAAGAAAAACTACTATTCTACTTAAAATCATTAAACAGCTTTCCTGGCAAATGGAACCCATCCTTCAAGATGAGGCAACTCAGCCCAACAGAGGGCAAGTGCATTGACACTGTTTGTAAGAGGGGCTCAGGAGAGACACAAGGCAACCACCCTCCCTCTCTGTCCTCAGAGATGCTTCACTCTTTCAACTGAATTCAGAAGAGGAAATGAACCAAGACGCACAAACTCCTAAAGAAGATCATTAGTCATCCAAATTCACAAGGCCAGAAGGTGTTCTAGACAGAGGGGAAGAACACCACTGGCTGATGAATAAGACAAAGTTTAACATTAACCAAAATACAGAGCTCACAGATCAGGTTTCCCAACATCAAATACTAAAGAACCCCCCCATAATCCACAAAGGAAGAGCGAAGTTGCAGATCTGATAAGACACGGCACGGAAGGTCTGTGTCTGACATCCCACTAAACTGACACCTGTAAACAGGATGTAGCCCTTAGGACAACAGGTTTTGGGTAAATGGCTTATTTTTCATTGTTTATATAACTGAAAATTTGGATACAAATATTTTGACTTTGAGCCTTGTGTTTACTTAGGAAAATAACAAAAATTTAGCTAAATGTTTTAATGCTCTACTTCAAAAGGATACAACAACATTACAAGAAGCACTCTGCCATTGTAATTTTTCCTTTTAAATGGTCTTTTAAATACAGCAGAGCTTCAAGTCAAATTACTTGAACACTGGCATAAATTCTTCACCTTTTCCACCCAGTCTCTGCCAAGATCTGCTTCCCCATAAATGCAGTGGATGTAGTTCCCCCTACTAATCACAGAGCCATGCACAACATGCTGCAAAGAATCAAGCTGGCCAAAACAGACTTTCTCTTCTTTTCTACAAAGAAATGCGGTCCTTATGCAACAAATCCATAGGCCTGAAAGTTTAAGCATTACTATGAAGCTATGGTTTACCAGAACACAACTTCCCCAAAACTTTACAATTGCCTGGGAAACATTCCATAGCTTCCCAAATACCTTTAATTTCTCTGCTTTTTTGAAGTAAAGGGTTTGGTTCATTTTTAATCACTGTCTCTCTGTGTAAACTACATCCAGAACTAGACTGCACTAATGATCACCTAGAAGAGACAGCACATAATTCCCAGCAAACGCACACCGCTACAGCCTTACCAAAACAAGACTCTGAGCTTTCTCCATATACAGCTACACAACTCCAAAGTTCCCTTTCATTACACGTATTTTTAATGACTGCAAAAACCCATGCATTTTGGCTTGAAATAAAACAAAAAATTGTTTCAGTTAGAAGGAAAGGTATTTGCAAACGCTAGGGACCATGTAAGTAATTGGCTCCCACAAGCTTTACTATCAAATGACTGCCAGCTAAGTTTTGGCTCTGCTTTTATTTTCCCTTCAGGTCTGAAATCGGCTGCTTTAATTAATGAACAGTTTGAGACTGGAAAATTCTGAATGCATTTAAACTTTTATTGTGCAATACTTCAAGTTGTTCCATCTTACCACTGTAGACTTATCAGAACAAGAACCTGAGCTTTCTGTGAACTGTATGCTGCTACACATCTTGAAGTTTTCTTTCATTATACCTATTTTTTATCACTGCACAGCAGTTGCACCAGCAATTATTCCAGATGCTCTTATTAGGATTTCATACAAAGATGTCTCAAGTTTGCATTAGCTGATCTGTGAATACTTCCATTATTTGAAACATATTAAAAGTCTTTAGTAACAAAAGTGTTGCCAAAATTTTCATTCAACAGATCTCTAAGTATCCTGATTCTATGCTGTCCTTGTGTACTATTCAAGAAAGATGAATAAAAGAGTTGATTACAGAAAAAGGAACAGCTCTCTCCATAAACAGCCTCATG